AAAAAAGAAAAAGGAAGAAAAAAAAAAAAAGCCTTGCGGCCAGAAGAGGAGTGAATAGCTCATCACTCATCTGGATCAGACACATCAGGATGCCGGCCGGTTTAACTGGATACGCGCTGCTAATTTCCCAATTAAAGCAGAGGTGGGCGCCTCCAGGGGTTGGGGACGGCGCTGCCCTTGTGGCGAAGCGGCGTCGCCTCGCCCGCCGCGCTGTTGTGTCCTCCGCCGGCCGCCGTCCTGGCGCCGGTGCGCGCGCGTGGCGGCGTGGGCGGGGCGCGATGGCGGAGCCCGGGAGAGCAGGGGGTGAGCGGCGGGCCCGGGCCCGGGGCCGGGGCCGGGCGGGGGGGGGATCTCTCCCTTTTCCCTCTCCTCCTTCTCCCTCCCCGCCTTCTCCTTCTCGCTTTGCCCTTCCCAGGCGGCTGACCCTCGCCCCCGGGCTGCTCCTTGCCCGGCCTTTCCCTGGGAGATCGGGGTGGGCCCGTCTGGGTGGTTGTGCCTGTGTACCTACGCACACTCATATACACGCGTACACGTGTGTACGAAAATATATGTAATGCTTGGTGTCGCTGTGTATTAACGCTGCGGTTTTCTCCTGACCCGGGATTTCATCCCCGGGCTTTACCGGAGGCACCTGTGGGTCAATAGAGGGAAAAGAGCAGCGTCCTCTTCCCCCTGGATGGAACCGTTCTCTGTGTGGAAATGTTTCCCGTGGTATGTGCAAGGAGGTTGAGCAGGGGTGACCGAAACAGGCTGGTGCAAGGGGAGTTCTATTTGTGTCAAGGCGTTAAACCCGCTTTTATTGTGATGTGGGGGTTTTTTTATTATTTATTTATTTTTAATTTTTTTATTTACTAGCATTCATTTTGTTAAAGAGAAATGTGAAGTTCTGTAGGTGCAGCTTGGCACTGTGAGAAGAATCCACTAACTTCTAGTTTTGTTTTTGCCTCTGATTTCAGTCAATCTGTCGGAATAGCTGCGGGAATCTGTATTTAATTATTTATTTATTTACTTCTTCCTTGTGTATTGAACTAGTGCAGACATCAAGTTATCTATTTTAAAACGACTTTGCAGTGTTTGTAATTGAAAAAAAAAGTTGTGGATGGCTTCACCTAATATTTACTGTTAATTTCCTTTCTTTCTTTCTTTCATTCATTCAAAATATTAAACTCCCGATTGAAGACTGAAATCTGGAGAAGGTCTGAGATAACTTAGAGACATGTGACTTGGACAAAGATAAAAATAAAAGAAGGACAAAAAGATCAGTACCTCTGCTCTGGGGATGGGGAAAATGCAACTCCTTTTCCCACCTTGCCAGCCAGACAGCGTGTGTTGCCAGTCAGATGAGGTCACACTGAGCAGGAAACATATTTCTGCAAAGGGAGGACAGATGCTTCTTGGACAATGACATGAACTGATGGTTTTCTGTCTTCTACTTTTGCTCCTTCATGCCATGTCTGTTTTTCTTTTCTTTTTTTCTTTTTTTTTTTTTGTTTTTTCCCCCCACAGGATTCCTATCCAGGAGGATTTAGACCTTGCTTAAAAAGGTAGGAGTTTTAGTTTGGCTGTGTTCTTTCTTTTGTGGGCCACTGGAATAAGCTGAGCTTATTTGCTTTGCCAGCTGCTCCATTATATTGGATATTTTTCTGGAAGAGAGAAAAGAACAACAAATTAAAACTTTTGTTCCCTCCCATGTATTGTTGTTAATATTACCTATTTGTACCTCCTGTCACTGGTATAAAATAGTGTAAGAGATGTCACCTCTCCCTCATACTCTTCATAGCTGGACTTTTCACAGCTATTTATTTTTTTTCATCCTTTGCTGCATTATTTTATGGATCCTGAGATTTTTTATCTAGATGAATTTAAGCTAAATGCTTAAATAGCTTAAAATTTAAACTATGCTTAAATAGCTGTGGCAGGTGTATCCTCTCTGTGACATCCTTCTACACACATGTTAATGATTCTTGTTGCATGAAGTTTTATTTTGAAGTATATTTTGAAAGATTGACTGAAGGACACAAAATGGAAAGCTGTTTAACTTCTTACATTCTACCATAATTCATTTGCAACATCTGGAAATATCTTTATGCCAGTAGCAAATCTCCTGTTCCTGAAATCTGGGTTTAAAGAAATTGAGGCCTTGTTTGTTTTGTTCTTCCCTGTCAGTTAGTAAACTCTGTGAAATGCCCTTGCATAATTTCCTTTGTAAACTGCTGAGATACATAAAAACCCAAGTTTCCAATGATACATCAGACTATATTCTAATTAAGAGTTAGTTACACACAGCACAGTATGAGATGTGTAATTAACTTTTTTATAGGCTCTTTTAGCAAATAATTTTTTTTTTCAAGTTCCTGAAAACTAATCTGGATCTTGACATCTGCTGGGAGGATATATATGCATATGTATTTACTTCCTTGTGGAAAATATAATTAGATTCTAGTGATCTTTTAGTATATTATACTAGCTGTATTATAATCTGTTTATTTTATGTTGGCTAGGTTTAACATCTTGTACCTGAAGATAGAAATTTTTGTTTTCCTGCCCTGATGAATCTGAAGTAGTTCAGATGAAAAACCTGAGGGATCAGGAGTTCTAGAAACAGTTTGGTTTGTTTTCGTAAAGACTGTGAAGACATATTGTCTTCAAGAAATACTATGCACCTGTTTTCAGCACACAAATAAAAAGAGCCAGAACAGCCTCTGAAGCAGGAGCTTAAATTCTGTATTTTTCCTTCTTCTTCTGTGATGTGAGCAGAAGCATATCCAACACATAATATGAACTCATTATTATATGCAGTAGATATTGGGCCTTGGGGTTGTATTCAAATACTTGCTAATGCCTGCCTTGTCTAACGCTTCTTGAAGATGCCTGCTGCCTGTGATTCAGTGCTTGAGGATATTGAAGACATTGTCTCAGCAGAAGATGTGAAACCCCACGACCGGCAGTTTGTGAGAAGGAATGTTTTTCCAAAAGTGCGAAAACGCAGTTCACAAAAAAGTGTTCAGACAGAAGATGATCCCCCAAGTGACAGGTAAAGTCTTGCATCGACCCTATCTTGTTACTTTTCTTGCAGCTTGTACGTGCTGTCAGCTTCTAAAAATAAGGTGAAAGTTCTCACTATCTCATAAATCTGAACAGAGGATAAAAAAATGAGCAGAATAGTCTTTATAAAATGTAGGGAGAATAAGTAATAAGTCCTAAGCAAATTTATTTTCCTAGGCAAATTTTCTGTTATCACTGAGATGTTGATGAGTGGAATAATCAGACTGGAAAAATGGTTTCTGTTACACTTTTATATGTTAAAAAATTTCTGAAAAACTGTCTGCTTCATCTTACTTACTTAAATAGAAGCTGAGCTCTTCAAATTGCAGTCCTGGAATAGCCTTTTGACATCTCTAATGAGAAATAAGAACAAAATCCTGGGCACTGCAAAAGGGTTGAGGTTGGAAGGTCATCTTGTCCAAACCCCCTGCCCGAGCAGGGCCACCAAGAACCAGTTGGTCAGGACTGGCTTTTGGACAAGATAGTTTTTGGATATCTCCAGGGATGGAGATTCTGCAACCTCCCTGGTTAACTTGTGCCAGCTGCTGGTCATAAAGTGAAGTTCTTAAAGTGAAAAAGGCATTTCCAGATGTTCAGAGGGGACTGCCTGTGTTTCAGTTTGTGCCTGTTGCCTCTGGTCCTGTCACTGTGTACCACTGAAAGGAATCTTGCTCTGCCTTCTTTACATTCTTCCTTCGGGTATTTATATACTTTGGTGAGATCTCTCTGGGCCTTCTCCAGGCAGAACAGTCCCAGCACTCTCAGCCTTGCCTCGTATGAGACATGTTCCAGTTCCTTAATGGCCCTTTGTTGGACTGTCTCCAGTACATCCACGTTTCCCTTGTGGATGCATTCTGTCAGTGCCCAGGGACTTATGCACGCCCAGTTTGCTGGAGTATTCCCTGACCCGGTCCTCTTTAACAAAGGTAACATCTTCCTTGCTTGTCCTCGAACCTGGGATTTCCAGAGGCTGTACTTTTTGTGTGTACGTCCTGCAAGTGAAACGGTGAAACTTCTTTTGAACTTGCTGTTTTATTTCAGTGGAAATAGCATGGAATAACCATGGAACGTATCTTTGCGTTTTTCCTGCTTAAGATTCCCCACAGGAACAGAATCAGCTTTCTGCTGCAGTGGAATTGATTAGAGTATAGGTCAACTCACCTATTGATTCCAGTTTCTACTGCATTTCTGAGA